CCCCAAAACCCCAAAACCCCAGGTGCATTAAAATTAATAAATTTAGCAGAATTAGATATTGATAAATAGAAATAATAATAATTAATCCATTTTAGTTTTATAGAATCCCAAGTAAACTCCCTCAGTAATAAATATTTTTGCTAATCCTGCTTTAAGTCAATATCCCTTTGAAAATCTGAATTTTCAATGCTATATCAAGAATTTGATTCAACAAGGAAAGCAGTTTTCTGAGATTTAAGATATTTTACATTTGAAGTATCCTGAAATAAAGCAAATAGCCTCTTCATAATTAGAATAAATCATTTAGCGAATTGCTACATTTCCCAATTGAAATCAGATATTTCTATAGAATTATTAAAGGCAATTGTAGCAGCAAAAAATGCTCTGATAATTAGATATCGATGATAGTAAGGAATAGATATAATTTAAAACTTAGCCTGTCCAAGGTACCTAACAGTAAATAAATAGCAATTAGCAAACTCGAGTAGTTGATTAAAATTTGAGTTTAAATTAATAGGAGACCAAAGTACAATAATCAAGTTTTAAGCCAGGGCCTACTGATGATGTAGGAAAGCACCTTGTCAATATTTTTGGGCAGAACTTGAGCATCAAATGTAAAGAAGATTAAACCTTACTTTACTTTACATTCAAGTCTCTCAGAGAGCAGGCTTAAATTTACGAGCAAGATATAGTATATATGCATGAAGGCTACAAGCTTAATTTTCCGATTCCTGACAAGACCATCGAGATAAGTGTAATATTTATTTCAAGTATCGGATCAAATGGAAATATTTTACTGTTAGCAGGTGTTATAGCTCTTTAGAACAAATAATATCCAAATATTGATTATGGCTGGATATTTTAATAATTTATTAGCACAGACTCCAAAGTCTCCACTACAATAGATAAATTGTATCCAAAAATTTTGTTAATTGATTACAATAGAAATATGTTTGAGATTATTAATCAGGCTAATTAAACTTGGCCTACTACATAAATTAGAGTTTCCCTCTAATCCTTCATTAGTAAGTTTGAGAAGGCATACAAACTAAAAAATTACTATTCAAAAACTGAGGCATTTAGTTTATTTAAGACTCTAAAATTGATAGCAAAGTGAAATCTGAACTCTCATAGTTAAACTCAACTTATTAATTTGTTGACAAGCATGATAAACGAGAGTTCCTCCGCAAAGTAGTTAACAGATTAATTAGGAGACTTTTTAAAGTATTTAGATTACTTCTAAATAGATCATTTATACTCTAACTCACGACAGGAATTTTTCTATAGATGTATGAGAGATGTCTTACTGAGGTAATAATGCCAAAAAGTTAGTGAAGTCATTAGAGTATTCTAATACATGTAAATCATATAGTATCATAAGAAGCTGATATTTTAAGATGCATATATAGATGTGATTCAAGATTATGATGACTAATAGATAAGGGAATTACTTCAAGAGATTCGATCAATTTATGGTGATTATATCTTAAATAAGCTTGTAAAAACTTATCTAAAGGCTATTCGGCTAGATCTAATTCAAATAAGTGATAATGAATATCAAGTTGATAGTTGTATTGTTAAATTGAATTGTAGTAATACATTACAATGTGATAAGGATATAAATTATTCTAGATTTATTCCTTGCAAACATTAAGTCCGGACACTTTTATTTAGAAGTGAATTTTCAATCAAGGTTATGGAGAAGTACATAGACAAAAAATGGAAGGTAGATGGTGATCAGATACTAAAACCAAGGTTTCTACTTGTAGAATTACTTAATCATAAAGGTCCTTTTTAGCCAATTCCACCAAATCTTGTTCTTATTAATAATCAAAATCAATAAAGCATATCTAAAACTTAGAATTAGAATTCAAATAATAACAGCAAATCAATAACAGAGAATAAAACCTTCACAAATAATTCCTCAATAAATACAGCAATCACAGATAGTACTTTTGACATTGAAACAAAGGAAAATCCTGAAATTTTAAATCAAACACTATCTAAATCTCATAAGTCTAAGCAGCCTAAAACTTAAATTTAACTCTTTCAAGATTAAGGTGCGCATTCGTCAGTGATAGATGTGTTTTTATTTACCGTTTGGAATATGAACCAGAAATCTTATCTTAATATAGACAAACAGATAAACTCCAAAGTTATTAATGACTTAAAAAAGTGTTTGAATTTTATGGAATAGAATCAGTTTATGGAGGCACAGGATTTTTATAGCAATTAATGCGGTTATATCTATTAATAAGGGAGTATAACGAAGCCATTGGATATATTATTCGAAGAATGCTTAGTCCCTGATGATTTCTAATTCTTTATTGAAACAGTAGCAAAATGTGAGATATGCTAAGCTATAAAACCCTATTAAGATTAATAGCAGTCTTAGCTACTCATTTCTATTTCTAAAATACTTCTAGATTAAAACAGCTAGTCATTATAACGAGCTTTTGATAAGAAAATGAAGTAAAAAGCTTATAGTAATTGCCAATCTTGCAAACAAGCCTCAGTTCTTATCACTAGAACATTAAGACCTTAAAATTATAATAAATTAAAAGATAATAGTTTAAATTAGAGTAATGAGGTTAATATAAATGAAAATAGTGTGAAAATGCCAAAATTCTTATTCTTCATGCTTGATGTGATTGAGGATAAGTAAGTTCGTTATGAAATAGAATAGCAGCTAACTATTGACTTTAGAGATCCCTCAGATCAAGTTTAAATAGCTCAATATGAGTTAGAATTTATTGTATTCATGAAGAAGATCAATATCTATACCATATATTACAAAGATCCCTTCATAATTTCAACCAATGATAAAAGTAAAAGATCTGGTAAAAGTAAGAAAAGGGATAAAGCCAGTAAAGCAAAAAAAGGGACAGGTTGGTTTTATTATGATAACAAAGATGGCGCTGCATTTAGTATAAGTTAAAGTAAAGTAGAAAAGATACTAAGTGGGGTAAAGAAGAGCTTAAAAAAGGAGGTACCTTTTGTAATTGGTTATAAAAGAATAGACTATTGAATAATAAGTAAATAATTGTATTTATTTGATTATAAACACATCTCTTATTTTTTAATTTAATATTTTTAGTAATTACATTATGGGGTTTTGGGGTTTTGGGGTTTTGGGG